AACGAGGATCCGAGAGGACGCAGCTGCAAAGATGCGCCAGAGCAAGCTGGAGAATCAGCGAGCTAGAGCGCAGACCAGGAGAGAAAAACAGGCAAAAGGGCGGGGAGCACGCAGAGGTGGGGGCAGGGAAACAGAGCCAGGAAGGGAGGAGCAGAGAAGGAGAGAAGGGAAAGAAGCATCAGATAGAAGAGATGGGATAGCAGAGACAGGGGTTGCTGGAAAGCGGGGGCGGGGGGTGGGACACATTCAAAGTAAAAAAAAAAAAAAATGTCTTCAGGAAGGTGGAACGCAAGACAGGGAACCAGCGAGTGGGGGAGGGGGGAAGAAGCTCAAGCCCACGTCAAGGTCCCTGCAAGTCCTGATGTGGCTGGGCATCCAGTGCTGGCCCGGTTTGTGATTGAGTCCCAGTGAACATGAAGTTCAGTTCCCAGAGGCTCTCCATGATGTGATCCCCCTGGTACAGTGAGTGCCCCATGCTTGTTCACATGGGCCCAACATGGAAGGCCCTTGAGGGCATCAGCAAGTCCAGCCCAGATACAACCTTGGCCTGAAACCCTGGAAAGTGGCTTTTTCTACCTATTCCCTTAGGTGTGTGTTTGGGGTGGAGGGGGGACTGCATGAAGCCCATTAGAGCTCAGGCACAGTCCTGATTGCATTCCTGCTCAGACTGTCTTAGCTAAGACCATCAAACATTTCCAAACAGAGTTCAGACCCAGCCCCCAGGGTCGAGCACCAGCCTCCTTCAGCCCCCATGGGTAGGAAATAGGGAGACTTTGAGGAGTCTAGGAAGATGAATGTAACCAAAATGGGCCTTAAGGGAGCTGTGCCCACCTCATCAGAGGCTTCTTCAGAGACCCCTATCTTGTCATCTCACCCAGACATTTTCAAGTGCTGTCACCGATCTTTGTCACTGCAGGGTATGGTAGGGCAGGTAGGAAGCAAAGGTTACTTGGGTATTTATGTTGAATGACAGCATGCCCTGTGCCTATCCTTGCCACACTGGTGTGGAATGGATCTAGACATAGAAGGCCCAGGTCAGGGCCCAGCACATCCTACTGAGAGAGTACCCACGAGGAGCCCCTGGAGATGGGTGCCCAGTAGGACAGGCAGCTAGCAAGTAGGTGAAGAAGGTATTAAGGTGAAATCTGAGGGTCTGTCTGGCAGAGGGCAGCCAGAGACCAGGCAGGCCTCTCAGATGACCCGGCACTTCCGAAGACTGCTGATACTGTCAACTGGGAGCCAGGAATTAAAAATAAATTCCTGGCAGGACATTAGCATTTACCCTGCCCACTTGCCCAGCTCTTCTCTCCACTAGGAGATCAGGCCTAGTTTGGGATTCAGGAGGCTGGGTGGGCTCAATTGAGAGGTTCAGAGTCCAGAATCCTTGGGAATAGCCCCCGGACCTTCAGCTTTGGAGTTTTCATCAGACTCCGCTTGCCTATATAGTCTTCCTCTGTGTACATCTGGGACACAAGGAGCCAGCAAGATCCAAGGTCAGGAACTTACCCACCTAGAGGACTGACCACTGATGGCAAGATGTCATATCTTTCCTGAAACACCTATACATTGACCTAGGGGAGGCAGGCCAAAACTACCTCCCTGTCATTTGCACATACTTTGCCTACCAGTGCAAGTCCCTGAAGCCTTTGCTGGCATGGAAGATCCTAGGGATATGCAGAAAAACAAATCTTCAAGAGGTAACAGTGCTGAACAATAACACACTAACCCCACTGAGCAGCCTTGCAGCCAAGAGTTCCAAGAGGCTACTAACCCACCAGCATTAAGCAATTGCCAGACAGTCAATAGCTCCAGCAACTGAGCTGCTATTGCCCCAATCTGCACTTATCCCCCAAGCTCAGTGCTGGGACTAAATCCCAAGGTGCTGGGATGGTGCTTCCTAGTAGGGGGCATTTAGGTCCTGAGGGCTCCAGCCTTATCCATGGATTAAATGCTACCATAAAAAGTGCCTATGGAGGGCTCTCCTGCCCTCCACTTTCCACTGTGAGGCCTGGTTGAGCCCCTTGCCAGAATTTTGGGCTTCTAGCCTCTTCAACTGCATAGTTAATAGTACTTAAATGACTAAGAAATCAGCAATACTACATAAAAGCAGGTCCTATAAATAGGCCTGGGGACCCAAAACCTATGAGGAAACTGGGCAAAGAAAAGCTAAGCCCAATGCCTGAGATAACACAGCAAGTAGGTGATTCAAAACATTAGAACCATAGACAGTATGGTTCAATCCAGGTCTCACCTGTGGCCTGCTTCTCAGTTACTGATCACAGTGACCCTGGGAAACTGCCAGAGGTGGGGCAGGGCAAGCAAGGAGAGGCTACAGAAAACCAGGATTCTTCCTAAGAGCAGTGTGGAAGGTAGGGTGCAGGCTCTGTCCCTCCTCGGCTCCTCCGGGAGCCCCCAGATGCCAACTTCAAGCTGTTTGGGGAGACAGCATCCCCCTCTTTGGCTGGTGGGGTTTTCATAAATGTTGGGAATGAAGGATCCAGCTAAAATTAACCATTATCAAGCTGCCAGCCCTGCAAATAAACCTGCCTCCCATTGGCTGGTGGTGATGTCACTGTCAGGTTAATAATAGCTGAGGTGCCCAGCTAACCACCTGTGTGGGTGCCTTCTGTGAGCCACGGCCAGGCCAGCCTCCTGGAGTCAATATCCAACAGATGTGTGTCACTTGGCCCAGGGTGGCTTATACAGTGCCTTAGGGACAGGGTGAGGGTCTGGGGACACCTTCTAGTCAGAGAGTTCCCAGGGAGTTCCACCTGGTTTGAGCTGCCAGATACCGTCTGCTCCTAAAGCACAGTCCTTGGGCATGGAGTCCTTCACTAGTCATCTACCTGAGCCTGAGTCCTGAGCAGTCCTCCCAGGAAACAAACTCCTCCCAAACAAACAAACCTCCCCCTGGAAGGTCAGCTTCCAGGCAGGTACCAGGAGACTGAGTTCCTGAGGCAGCACATGAACTGTCTCCATGGGGAGGGGAATATCTGGGCTCTGGGGCCACTCCTTGACAATTCAGCACCTTCCTGAGTTAGAGCAGCTGTGCAGCTGTCAGGTGAACTGCAGACCTGGAAAACAGCTGGATTTCAGGCTAGCCAGGACCCAAATATACTATCCTCCAAGGCATTGGGCCCATAAGGTCTGAGGCATCCTGAGTCTGTCAGGGAGCCCAGAGCCACAGGAAGCTGTTGCCATGGTGAGCAGCAGCTCAGCAGGCTGGAGGCTCCTCCTTCTTCCTCCAGGGAGCCCAGCCCTACATCATCCAAGGAACAGAGAGCTGCTCATCTCTGGAAACCAGTAAGAGTATGACAGATACTGTGGGACACAAGTCACATTCCACTGATGCCACACAGCAGACCAATTTCTGGGGTAAGGGCAGGGTACTACATCCAGAAACAGAAGGGAAGATCAGGAGAGTATTCAGACCACTGAGCTGGCATTCATTTTGTTAAGAGGAAAGAACATCAGCACAAGTCACTCTCCATAGCCAAGTCCAGCAGTAGCATGGAGGGAGTCCTGAGGGTGTGGTCAGGTCTTCTTGGAACTCACTGGAAGCAAAGCTCCCTTCAGTGTACCTATCTTTAGTTGGGGAAAGGGCACCATAGCACCTGTGTATTTGACTGCCCAGGCAACAGTACTCACAAGTGCCTGTATGAACCCCTTGAAAAGAATTGCCTTACAGTAGGCAAGGACCCTGAAGGGAACAGCCAACCTTAGGAGTAACCATGGTCTGCATGATCCAGGAGAAAGCCCTTGAAGGCCATCATCCAAGAGTCACACCTGGGGACAAAGGGACACAGAGTGGGTACAACATGGAGAGAGTACAGGCCTTAAAAAAAAAACAGAAAACCAAAGGTTTATTTGAAAGTATGTGTATGAGGGCATGTCTATACATGTAAGTGCAAATGAGATACTGAATCCCCTGGCACTGGAGTTACTGATAGCTGTGAGCTGCCCTGTGTTGCTGTTGAAAACGGTCCTCCTGAAGGGCAGTACATGTTCCTAACTACTGAACTATCTCTCTGGTCCCATGCAGATCCTTTTAAAAGAGCGTAAACAGACTTAGAATTGCAGTTTCCAGACAGTGAACACATCCTTGGAATCAACATCCAGATCGCCCCCTTGTGCCCCTCCTGGTAATTGCTGCCTCTCAGCAGCCACCCCCATCAGGACTCCTGACATAGATTCATTGGAGCTGTTTTTAAACAGTACAAACTGAAGCCTCCAATCAGCATCCCATCTGACACCCCTCCCTGCTCATCAGCTTCCTGTCACCATAACAGACACCTGATATGAGCTGCTAATAAAGTGAAAGTATCATCTGCCTTCAGCTTTGGGGTTCCATGGTGAAATATGCCCCATGCCAAGGCAGCACACTGTGGCAGGAATATGTCAAAGAACAAAATTGCTCACTTCCTATCCAGGAAGCAAAAAGAGAGAGAGAGAGGCTCAGGCCTCCCAGTCTTCCTCAAGGGCACGTCCCACCATCCTAAAGATCTTCTCGTAGGCCTCTGCTCTAGAGAAACCACAATCTCCCAACAGTTGCAGCTTAGGGACCAAGTCTTCAAACACATGGACCTTTGAAAGTATCTGCCATCCACACTACACTGTACAACGTCGTGGCTGGGGGATTCAGCCACACTGTGTCAGATGCCATAATTTGCTTTAGTGGATGAATCTTATTCCACACAGTTTTAACCTGCTACAGGCAAACCTGCCATAAACAGGTGTGCATGTGTCATGTATGATAGTTCTGAAACACAGGGTCAAAGGCTTTGGTGTACTGCCTCTTGACTCTGAATGCAACCCTGAATGCAATTCTTATGGTGAACGGGATTTATATCAATATCCCCACTGGACCCAGGCAGAATCTATTCTCCAGGCAACAGTGACCGATCGTTAGCAGCTGGAAGCCCTTGGTGATTGGGTGATTGACTTCCCTTACTGTGCATGGCACTGCCCTCATTCCTCACATATCTGGTTTCCTTGTACTGTATACAGAGCTTTGGGAAGTGAC